TAATAATATTGATGTAATTTTGTTACAGTCAATATTTTTAATTTATCTCAAGTTAAAATTTTTCATTCATTATTGTAAACCATAATCGTACTTTAAATTAAGTTAACCATAAAATACTTTTTTACTTTGTTACAATTTAACTTTTCAAGTTTGGTTGAACTTAATATTAACATTATGTTAAGCTATAGTTTTACTTTGGAATAACTTAATAAAATTGATGTAATTTTGTTACAGTCAATATTTTTAATTTATCTCAAGTTAAAATTTTTCATTCATTATTGTAAACCATAATCGTACTTTAAATTCAGTTCACCATAAAATACTTTTTTTTACTTTGTTAGAATTTAACTTTTCAAGTTTGGTTGAATTTAACTTTTCACGTTTGGTTGAACTTAATATTAACATTATGTTAAGCTATAGTTTTACTTTGGAATAACTTAATAAAATTGATGTAATTTTGTTACAGTCAATTTTTTTAATTTTTCTCAAGTTACAATTTCTAATTCAATATTATAAAATGTAAATGCACTTCTACCTTACTCAATAAAACCTCTTCAGTCACAAGTCAATATGCTCCTTAATTCAGGCTATTACAATTCATCCTGCTTGGTTTTAATTTAATTTACATTAAACATAGACAGAAAAACTGTTCAAAACAATCTTTATTATAACAAAAAGTGCATCATTTTAATACCAAAAAAATAAATAAAAATACAATAAAATACATTTAAATAGAACCCTCCAACAAATTGTCTTATTTGTTGACTTAGCCTTTATGCCAAAGCCTTAACATAAGAAGATGATGCAATTTATAGTCTTGAAAAACCTTGAAATGCCTTTGCCATACCTTAAATTCCTAAATTGTACAAAAAATGCCACAAATGGTCTGTAAATACTACTTTTCCACAAATATAAAACTTCTCAGTAAAACCATGAACAACAATCTCTCCTTGAAAACTCTTACAGCAACAAGCCTTAGCTGCTTCACTGTGACCATGTTTTGATAAAACAAGAACCATTGCAATCACGAAATGAAAAGCTCAACAAATCAAAAAATAAAGGACAATCAAGATGTTGCATTGTTTTAACTTTGAAAAAAGTGCCCAAGTCAGGATATGAAAAGGAAAAACATTGTTATGAATTTTGCCAATTTAAATGATCACATTTTCTAAAGGAACAGCGATGCAAACGTTACAGCAATTTGAAAATGTAAAATCGTTGGTTTTAAGGATAAAATATTTCTTTTCCATTCTTCTCAAATGTGTTAAAATATACATGCACTGATGGCCTTTCATGTTCAGTCAGTATTGAGCTTGATGTTCAGACTACACTTTTCGTGTCAGTGCCTTAAATGCCAAAGCCTTAACATAAGAAGATGATGCCATTTACAGTTTTGAAATACAACAGCATTTGATATATAAGAATGCCATACCTTAAATTCCTAAATTGCACAAAAAATCCCACAAACGTTACTTACTACTTTTCCACAAACATAACTTCTCAGTAAAATCATGAACAAGAATCTCTCCCTGGAAACCTCATGCAGCAAGCCTTAGCTGTGTCACTGTGACCATGTTTTGATAAAACAAGAACCATTGCAATCATGAAATGAAAAGCTCAACAAATGGAAGGACAACCAAGATGTTGCGTTGTGTTATCTTTTGAAAAAGAGCCCAAGCCAGGATAGAAAAAGGAAGGTACCACTTTACAATAAGGCTCCCCATAGATAGGTTATTAATTCGTCTGTAAACACTTTATAAATCATTAATAAGTGTTTATTATTCATTAATTAAGGGCAGGAAAGAGACAAAACTGTCCGATTTCTTGCCAAATAGTGAACCACATGTGTTCATGTATCACATTTAAAGGTGCTTATTAAACATTTCAGACTAGTTTACTACATTGTAAGCACAATAATTTATTGAAAACACATTTTACATATAATATTGTACTGTATTACTGCATTATACATATCCACAGTAATCAAAGGGAGACTTATTGTAAAGTGTTGAACAGTATAATAATAATAATGTCATAACAGAGACTTATAGTGTACTGTTATACACTTTACAATAAGGCTCGTTTATGGCATTTATACAAGTTTATTAGTCATTAATAATTAGTGTATCTACTGTCTTACATTTTACAATAAGGTTCCTTTTGACAGTTGTTAATATGTTTAAGTAATATAGTTCAATATTATTTTTTAAATATGTGTTTCCAATACATAATTCTGCTTATAAACCTAGTGATATGTACACGAACAGATTTGGCTCACTATTTGACAAGAAACCGGACAGTTTTGTCTCTTTCCTGTCCTTAATTAATCCATAATAAACATTTATTAATGATTTATAAAGTGTTTACAGATGAATCAATAACCTATCTATAAACTATTCATAAGCCTTCTATAAGAGAAGCCCTATTGTAAAGTGGTACCAAAAGGAAAAACATTATGATTTTTGCCAATTTAAATGATCACATTTTCTAAAGGAACAGCAATGCAAACGTTACAGCAATTTTATCCTTAAAACCAACGATTTTACATTTTCAGTGATTTTTTTTCCATTCTTCTCAAATGTGCTGAAATACACATGCACTGATGGCCTTTCATGTTCAGTCAGTATTGAGCTTGATGTTCTGACTGTACACTTTTTGTGTCAGTGCCTTTACTTCAATCTCCATGAAGATTTTCTGAAGTGCATCAAATGTGTGCTTTAACTCACTTGGGTAGCTCATTCAGCTTGTCACACACACTCTCACCTGTTTGTTTGCCAATTTGTTACTTCATCAGGTGTTTGTGATTTGGAATCAAGATCAAAAATAAATTTTGGCTGATATAAGACTAAAAGACTGCATTAGACGGACAATTTTTCAGTGGATTTACAAAGTTTCTATTTAAGATATAAACCCAGTGGAATTGTATTGCCTGACCTGATCAAGAACTTTCAGTATGTCCCGAGTTTTCTCCCTGATGGCTCCTCCCTTGTTTCTGATGACTTCAATCACTTTGCTGTGGTGTTTGTCCAAGGAGCCAAGAAATCGGGGTTGAAGWGGACAAGTTGTGATTCTTGTGAATTCAGCATTGATCTTTAAAAAAAGCAGAAGAGCAGCATAATGTTATTATATATGGAGGACTGAAACTGAAATTAAAAATAAAACCAGAAATGTATAAATGGATTGATGAATGTATAAATACAATAAAAATGCAACACTTAATTTAAAAAAGGAGAACTTTCCCTTTTGCTTAAAAATGTAATGGACTTTTATTTTTCCAGCTTAGTTCCAATTAATTATATACATTTTTTGCAAATTAAAATGTTTTAAAAAATTTAGTTTCTTTTTACTTGCATATGCAAATGTTTTTTTTCACACCCACATATTTTATCTTTTTCATGTATTTGTTTTGTTTTAACTTTTACTTTACGCATTTCTGCCTCTGCCTCGTTATATAAATAAAGTGAGCTGACCTTCTTGGTTCAGCTCCTCTACTATTGCTCAACAGACAGAAGGGAGCAGGAGCCATGCGAAGATCTACTTTGAATGCTTGTGCTGCCTCAGTTTAGCTTAAAGTTTCAAGTTTAGTTTAAAACAAAGACAAGTAGAAAAACACTTAGCTGTGCTTTTTGTTTTAAACTAAACTTTAAGCTAAACTGAGGCAGCACAAGCATTCAAAGTACATCTGCACATGGCTCCTGCTCCTTCCTGTCTGTTAAGCAACGGTAGAAGAGCTGACCCAGGAAGGA